TGGCAGCCTGAGGCATAGTCATATCATTGTGGATAAATTGCATTATCAGTCCTTAAATTACCTTAGGCGGTCTGGGATGGCCGAATTCTAATTATATAATTACTGATAGCCTCAAAAACAAGGGCTATGATAATTTTAATAGCCAAAGCCAAATGATTAGGCTTGCGATTCATGGTTTCAATTCCGCAGTATTTTAATGTCCATCCCTACTAACGATAGCAATGACTGTTGCAGACGCATTCAGTCAATGATCCTATGCAAAATAGGAAGAATATTACAATAATAGATAAGGCGGTAGATATATTCTTCGAAATTTCTAGGCAAATATGAGTAAGCTGCAGAAATGCTATCATACTATTCATGACCATAAATAGACCGATGAATAGAGAGAGAGAGCAGTAACAATTTGAAACCTAACCTGGCTGCTGCTTCTTGAGAATTTGTAGTAATCTCAATAGCAAGTTGAACAGATTTATGTAGGGCATCTCTTGTACGCTGGTCAATGGGTTCAACCGACTGGATATCAACACTAGTTACCACTAAGTTGTTTGCCGGAAACTCGAACTTTGCGCGCACCTTGCCAGCATTGTCCAGACCGAATACAGAACTGCGAATAAGACGAGCTGAATTCTATGGGGAGCGGAAAAAGAACCAAAATTTAGCATAATTTAAGTAATATAACTTATAAAATTCTGTAATTATTTTGTCTAAGTATAAGAATAAATCGATAAGCTCAGAACAAAAACCCTTCCTATATACGAAAAAAAGAGTCCTGATTAAATCATAAAAGCCTGAAGAGAACCCTGAAATGTAGATGGCGAATACCACCTTAAATATGAGCATTAGTCAAGCTAGGTCCGTTAAGGTGATGAAGGACTAATAAATAATTTTTCTTCATTGAAATGAGTAGGTCTCGCGGCACAATTGAATTTCGCCAAGTCTTGCCTCCCTAAAGATAGTTTCATACAGGAAAGACTGCCTTTCGAACTCGTTTGGATCCCATCAATAGGACTCGAATCTGGGTAGTGAAGCATATAATTTCCTCACATTACCATCTCAGGCGACCTATACTATCAGTAGCTCTCAGTCAAGTGCCACTGCATTCTATCCCGGTTGAGAATACATTTTGGGAGATAAGGTTAAATTAAATGCAAGGCTTACTAATGGTATTGCGGTAAAAATCGCCTTAAACGACCTAGGGTGATAGAAGATCTTATTCAAGATTTACTGAGTCACGAAGGCCTACGTAAAACGATTACCACCTTAGGCGTGCAAATAGATCAGCAATCTTTTTAAATATTCTAAAGTTCTATAAACCTCTTCTTTTGATCATTAAGTTATATAGAAGGGATTCGTAAGTAAATAAGTGCCTTGGCTTTGTGACTGTTGATTTGTTCGGGGTTCTCGGTGCCCATCTTGTGACTCCGATTAATCTGCGTTAAGCCGTTGCCTTGGTTCGGAGCAGGCATCATCAGATCGAGAAAGAATTATGTTAATTCGCCAAAAAAGAAGCCGAAGAAGGTAGACGACTGCGATCCTACCCATTTATTATAAGTTATTTTGCGATCTTAATGAGGCCTCGAATCATTTAGTTGGCTACTTCAGGCCTACCCAACATGTTTTCAGATGAGTGAAGTTGATGCCTAAAATGGATTTAGATGTGGCTGAGCAACTGTTTCCTTAACTAACTCGTCACTTTTTCCCGGTAATGTTGACACATGCTCTAGTGCATGGTTTTATGCAATGCTCATGAGTTAAATGAGATGGTACAGTACTAAAATGGCCTCAGGCTAATCAAGCCTACTTCTTTCACTCAGCAGTTGGTCCTATTCTCTCTCGCCCCAACTATGCCCAATATGCAAGGGTAGTTACCGCTCGATTCGCTAGTTTATGCTTTTATTTTGTTTGTTTGTTGGGTCTTAGTGATTACCTAATCTGTGACAATATCATATCCAAAAAAACGCGGGCTCTTAGCCAATCTTAATTATGAGGTCAAGTCGGTTAAGATTTACAGATCCACAAAGCTTCGAAGGCAGTCTTGTATTCGGCTAATCTCTGGAGCATGGTCCAATAGGTACTCCATACATAGAAGCTACCAAATGAGCATATACCCCTATTATATAGAGAGGAGCGGAAGAGCCTTGAGAAGGTTCTTCATCTCTACCAATTGCACACACCAATATTTTATACATTCATTACATTGCATTAATGTGTAGAAATTAATGATTAGGCGATTGCACCATATATGTACACTAAAATTATGTACAAGTGCAACTATCTTT